GGATTTAGCGGTCTGGCCTCAGTGGATTTAGTGGTCTGGCCTCAGTGGATTTAGTGGTCTGGCCTCAGTGGATTTAGCGGTCTGGCCTCAGTGGATTTAGTGGTCTGGCCTCAGTGGATTTAGCGGTCTTGCCTGGCCTCTATTATATTAGGTAACTGAAGCACGTGATATTCTAGCACAGCTTCTAATAGCACCCCATAGCACCCCCCAATGGTCAGGTCAGTTCCAGAATAGGCTTAACGCAAGATAAAAGCGGACCCAATGGTCAGCTCAGGTCGATACCCAATGGTCAGGTGAGCTTATACCTCGCAGCGACGGGACCTTTTGTTCTCGATTGATGTCGTTGTGCTGCAGGACTGCAACATGTTTAAACGCATAATGCCTACAGACTATGCTTCTGCGCGACATCCATCTTGTTACGTGCATATATATGTCAAGGTCGGCCATGGGCATCAAGTTCAAGGCTCACACTGTTGACTGAGTTATATTAGCATGATGTAGACAATTCAACTGTCCCTCCAAAGTAAACGGTTTGTGGATATTTTGTCACTCAGCCCTGATATTTGGTCTTCAACTCGCTCATCACTTGTCAGACTGGCTCCCAAATAGTTCGTCGCTCGCTCGAAAAGAATGTCTTCAAAAATCGGGGTATCTAATCATCACGGCGCGCCGTGATCCCGCGCCCCCATGTCATGCCGTCCGCTAAATCACGAATCAGACGCTCGCTGACATGCCATCATGCGCCTCATTAGCCCATTGTCCGTCATAAAACCTGCGGCCTCGAGCCAGCTTCCCTCCGCCCAAAAAGGCACTGGACCCCGCCAGCCCAGCAAGAACCAAAAGTAGGGGAGAAATCATCGCGGCACAGCCAGTTCCTTCGTCCCATCGTGCTGCAATTGTTCTCTCCATGACTATCCATCCGCATACACTCCCATGAAAATCGCTCCAAAAATTGAAAGAATTAGAAAGAAAAGAAGCAATGCCGAGAACCAAATGGCTCGTTTCCATTGGCAAACCAGCCAGTGGTCATTGAGAAGGAACAAGAAATGGCGAAATATCCAGCCCAGATCCGATTACAGCCGTCGCCGGCTTGTACCCATGGTACGCATGTATGTGGAAGGGTGACAGTAAGAAAGGAAAACCAACCGCTGGTGCCGACGGGCCCATTCAAGGGATCGGCGACGGATTGGATGTTGTTCTGTTTTTCCGGCTGCATGTACAAGTCACACGCCATGCCTCGGGTGATATCCTTCTGGATCCCGAAGCAGCATTCGGGCTTGCGCCCTGTTGAGTCTTGTCGAAAATGGAATCTTGTTAAGTCTTGTTGTCATGGTTGTTCCTGTGATCGTGAAAGTGTCGTAGTGGCGTCTGCACAAGGTGCTGGCTCGTGATTACATGATGATTCTGGGATACACATAGTCCAGATCATGCAGGGGTAAAGATATGGAATAAAGGGGGAATGCCTAGATGCTAGCAACACGACCCTTACCGGGCACGCTGGCATAGCATACTAGGAGCTTGAGGCTTGTGCGCCACTCTTCACATTCCGAAAGGAGGGCGCGGTCGGCCCAGATGGTTTTGCGAGCGGGTGTACTGCCGACTGTGCTTTCGTAGCAGCGAGTATACCACCATCTGCCAACCTTGGCCACCATTTTGGTGATGTTCTCGTCGGCAGCATCGCTCTTGTCGTTCATCATCTCGGCAAGGCTGCGCTGATCTTTGGGCTTCTTCGGCCCACTGGCAGGAGGCTTCTTGCCATCCTGCGCCCGAGCCACGACGCTCGCGACAGGCACGCCAACATGGCACGTCTTAACGTCAGTAAAGCCCTGCTGGCCGAGAAGACGGAGCATAACATCCGAGGACGAGCCTAAGCTTGTCTCTGGGGTCTTCTCGTGGATGCGCTCCTTGAGGTTCCTAACCGTCCGGCGCGCCCGGTTCCCCATGTTGTTGAGATCGACGTCCAGCACCGAAAGCTCAATGTAGCCACCGGGTTTCAGGACGCGGCGTGCCTCAGACATGATGTTGCGATAGTGGGATTCAGGCCCTGCGGCTGGGAATCGGTAGACCACAGAAGTGAAACTTTCGGCGCCAAAGGGAAACTTGTCCGCATGTGAGGTGTACTGAATCTGGTGATGATTGGGGGGGCTGAGTGGAAATGTCGATGCGGCCTTGTGCTCGGTGGGCAACGGTGCTCGTGGAGACATGTTGAAGAAGGTAGCGGCAGGGTACGTCTCGGCAGCGTAGAACGACCAGTCGTCGTTGCCCAGGCCATCAATCACAAGGATTGATGGGCGCTTAAGTGATCCAACTTCTGGCACTAGTTCGTCCCTGACAGGACTGAAAAGAACATGTCCAAAAGACAACCACTTGCTCACCGTCATGGACCCAACACGAAGATTAACCTGCGACAGGGGGGATTCATCCTCGGAGGACTTGCAACTACTGCTGGTCGATTTATGAGACAAGTTGCTGTTCCTCTGCTGTGACGTCAGGGAGGGCCTACGACTTCCTTCGCCACTGCGACGGAGAGCAGTATCCGGGTATACGAGAGGCTGGGATGGTGTCTCCTCGGGCTTGGGGGCGAAGGCAGCCTTGATTCGTTCTGTCATGTCGGCACTGTAAACACTTGACTCGACGGCGAACCTGTCGGCCTCATCCTTTACAGACCGAATGCTTTTGGCAGAAGGCAGCGCAAGAGTAGGAGATTCGAGAATCTGGCTATTCTTCTTCAGAAGCTTAATTTCCCTGGGAGCATAGTTTTCGAGGTGAAAGGGGACGCCCTTGGACGAAGTTGCAGAGGGGGGGACGTCTCCAAGAAGGTCGTTGTACTCGTCCCAGATGTCATCCTCGCCGAGGCCGGTTGTGTCGGGCACGGCAATTGTCGTGGCGGCCATGACATACGTGCCGGAACAGCTCGAACTTGTGCTATCACGTTGTTGATATTTCTTGTTGGGCGAAAACTTGAGGAACTCGTGACCGATCTGAATCATCTCTGGTGGCGAGTCTCGGCTGGTACGCCCGGGTGCGGAGTCAGTGCTGGTAGTCGTGGATACCTCATGAGACAGCTCTGGTGTCGAGGTGGTTGGGGGGCTTGGGCCTTTGGCAATCGAGCTGAGGTCGACAAAGGTAGCATGAGGTTGCTCGTGGTAGCTGACACGCTTGAAGGGTCGAGAGAAACTGCGTAGCGAGGGAGGCTCAGGCCTGGTGGTGATAACCCTTGGTATTCTACCCACTTGTGGGAGACGACTAGGGCGTGCTGGCGTGGACCTTGCAGCCAGGACATATTGTTGAGAGGGTGTCACAGCTTGAGGTTTGTCGGTGAACTTTTTATCGACACGCCGAATCTGTAGTGCTGACGCTTGCGGCGGCAAGGGGTTTGTTGGGTATCGTTTCCTTGTTGCCACCGTTGGAGGGGTTGGGACATTGGCAAGACCATCAAACACATGCGCATCGCGGAGAACGTCCTCCACCGTGGGAACACCTTCATCTTGCTCAGATCCGTCCATCATAAAGTAGAAGGCCTCTGGCTTCTGTTGGACGACCTTGACTGTGGCCGCGACAGGCTCGGGCTCCTTCTTCTCCGAGGTCTTGTGGGAACGGCTGAAAATGTTCCATTTTCTTGGAGATCTTGCCCGCTTGGTGAGTTTCTTTGGTACCGCGACTGCGGAAGTCACCGCGCGTCCACGGGCGGCGTGGTCGATGAAGTCAAAGCGAGAATCGTCGGAGACAACACTAGTATCAATGCTCGTGATGGACGGGGAGGGAGCCCTGGTAGTCTTGATAGGCTTCGGCAACCGCAGAGGGCCCTGCTCAGGGGAGGATCGTAGCCGCTGGGTGGATCTCCTAAAAGCCAAAGTAGACTTCATGGCGAGAGCTTCTGAGTCGCTGCTATCCGAGGGACGGCGATGACTGAAGCCAGCTTTTGGGTTGATGGGCAAACCAGAAGCCCACATGGCAGTTCGCCCCGCAGTTGAAGTCGTAGACACATCAGAACCGCCCCGTGATTCAAGACTGGGGCGGCTCATTGCCAGGCTTTGGTTGCTTTCAGTCCGACTGAGATCGGAGCTCGTGTTCCTGTTGTCCTTAATTTCGCCGCCAGAAATCACCACGGGGTTCATGCGTTCCCGCAAAAAGGGGTCAACGTGCGTCGTACTGTTGAGACTTTCCTGGGACGTCCCAGAGCCGGCTGTGACGCGATTCATATACAGTGCGCCGCCACTCCGCCTGCGAGGAGCGCCGAGACGGCCGTAGCCTTCATGGCCGGTGCCAGCAGCGGGGCCCTTACGTGTTGGCTTGTCTTTCGTATCCGCCTGAGTGATGTCCGGTGTTGTTTTGGCTCGTCTGCCAAAGAAGGCAAACCTGCCATTGAAGGCGTTCGTGTTCGGACTCGGAGTGCGGGCTTGCGTGTTGCGCTCCGACTTGACAGGGCTTGCTGTGGCCGGCCGAGGCGCGGGGGTAGCCTCTCTGCCCACAAGACGGGTGGGGGCTTCGGACCCGCCAGGAAGGGGTGATACAGCAGTCTTACGAGGGGCCGATGGGCCAGCTCTATCCTCGTACCCATGTCTCTCGGCCACGAGTGAAGCCGATGACAGGTTGCTGTGAATGATAGGCAGAGGTCCAAAAAGCTGAGACTGAAGATCCGGGGTGCCATCTCTGCTGGGTCGCAGAGGCGGTGTTTCGCGTGCAGTGGGCGTAGACCTGGAAGCGAGGGCTGGAGATTTGGAGGGGAAAAGAGATGCGCCATCTGGTCGTACCAGCTGTCGCTGGCGTCGCGGTGATGCTTCGACGGCTGCCCTCTCCTCGTGATGCTTCTGAGATGACTTACGGGGAGGTGGACTTGGCGGCATGGGCGAAAGGCGCTTCTTTTTAATCTTCTCCTTCTCTTTCTTCTCGACTTCGCGCACCGTGGAGTTGGATGATGAAGATGTCAAGGACTCTCGGACGGCAGCCAGCCCTTGAGGGTCCGCACTGATGACGTCTACTTCGTTTGTCGTGCTTCCACGCCTCCGAGTCACAGGCGGTCTCGTCCAGACAGGGCTCAATTGCCTCGGCTTCTGCGCAGGGAAACGGGCAGGAGACATCAGGCTCGGAGACTGCGACGACATGGAGGTTGGCGTCGTATCGCGGCTGTAGGGGCCGGGCCCCGGCGACTCTGAAAATCGTGTGCAAGGGCTGCCACTGAACGCACTAAGTTGGCTGCTAGTGCCAGAAAACGCAGGAGTAGGGGGGGGCAGATCCTGTGTTGATAGTTTGAAGGGGACCTCGAGGCCGGAGCAGTCCGAAAGAACCGGGGGTCGGAGGGCAATACCTCTGTACCTGTCGAGCTCTGGGTAGATCGTAACGGCGTGAGCTTGGGTCTTTGGCAACTCGATCGACCGGGCTACCCGGACCTCCATCGGGCTCTCAGTAAAGTCTTGATCTAGAGACTGTCCAGACGAGGGTTCCATCGAGGAGGTGGAACGGGGAATTGACGATGATGAGCCGGTCCTGCTTGATTCGGTCCGTGAGTGACTCCCGGAGCTTACGGTTGCTTGGGTGACTGATGATTGCTTCCTCCGTAGAACATTACGAGGGGACTTCGTTGGGCCATCGTGCGATCTGCCGGAAGAAGAAGTGGAAGGTGTGGTGGCATGAGCTAGGCGCTTTGGGGATGTAACTGTGTTGGAGCCCCATGATGGCAACTTCTGGGGCAGGGACGGACGTCCAGCTGCTGTCGGTATGGAGGGTCTCCTAGCTACTGGGTTCGATGCAGCGCGGCTTGAGGGCGTGTAAGAGGGGGCGGGTGCCTGACCGAGAAGCCGTGATTGTTCGGTCTGCTCTCGTGGTTTGCGGCCAACAGTCGGCGGTCGGTCTTCCGCTGTGTCGAACCCCATGCCTGCTCGCCTTATTCTGGACGACTCGACGGTCCTATTCGGCTGTGGCGGCCTTGAAGAAGACATGGTAGTCCAAATATCGGTGGTGTTGTGCCGAATCTGCCTACCATAATCCCTTGCTCTGCTTTCCTATTCTTGCGTTTGCAGGTCCATAAAGAAACGATGTGCAGTTGAACGTGCCCGATGAGTCGTTGTGGGTGAAGGAAGGGAACAGCCTATGCAAGTGATGACTAAAGAAAGAATCGAGGTGGACGTTCGAGTGAAATTGTGAGAAATATCACTGAACCCACGAAGCCGAGAGGATATCGGGCAGCGAGGCAGCGTCAACAAGTATAAGAGGGGATTAAGGGGCTTGGCGACGGAACCCCTGGAATCGGAGCCAAAATGTCGCAGGGCGATGCTTGTCTAGTAGGGAGGATCCAAGGCCTGGTCCGCGACGGGAACCCTTGGTGATGGAGGGTGGTCTCAAGGTTCCGCGGCTATCGTGGGTACGCGACTAGCCCTTTCGGTATGGGGCAGGTCGAGGATGGTGGTGGGGAGATGCGGCGTCTAAGTACCGTCGCGTTAGGGCGACGGGGTGGGACAGGGCGAGCGAACGAAGCTCCTCCGTTCTAGGAGGGCTGGATGAAGGCTGAGGGCTGAAGGGTGTGGGTTAAGGGCTGAGAGAAGTGAGGGATATGTGACGTTGTTTTGTCGAATATCCAATGTTGGTTTGGAGGTCAGCGTCAAAAGAAGCAAGAGACGGAGAAGAGTCAGGAACCGCGTCTAAATGCGAGTGACAGGCAACGGAGGACAAGAGCAGTAAAAAGTACAAGAGAAGCTACAGCAGCAGCGGGGTCGTGGAAGAGGGTGGGACGTCAAGAAAAGTAGCATGGTGGTGGTATAAGTGATTTCTGATGGTGGTCTGGTCGAGCCGCCTATGGTGTCTGAATGGTCAACAGCAATCGGCAGGCGTTGCAAGGATGTGCCCAATGTGCCAGGTTGCCAGGCCGAGCTACGTATCCACCTAGAGACGGTGCTCTGAAAAAAAAAATGCTATTCTTTGCGTGTGGCGTAGTCAAGCAGGCCTTGTTCCTGCTTCTGTTGCACGGCGGTCAGTGGACAGGACAAATCAGGGCGGACTGGCACAGCGAAGACGGCGGACGCCGGGGTATGTAGATCAGAGACGGCCAGCAGCAGACCAGGTCAGGTGGCCCCTGTGTGTAAGGCAGAGAGATGCCGAGGGCGGCCCAGGCGACCAGGCGACCGGGCGACAAAGTTGGGATTGGACACGCGTGACAAGACAAGGAAGACGACCCCAGGCAAGGCCTCTGGGAAGTTGACTCGGCTTGTCTACAGTACTTGTCCCCAGGGCAGCTGTACCAGGGACATCGATCGACAAAAGGAGGCGTCGCTGGGCCCGCCCAGACGACAATGCAATGTTGATGGGCAAGGACGGCCCCCCCCCCCCCCCCCCGGGCGGCAAAAGGTCAATCGCATCCGAAAATGGCCCATGTTCAGACTCTGCTTCTGGCTCTGGCTGCGCCTGCGCCGCGCTGCAGGCAAAAGGGCCCTTCGAGGTGCATACACGGCCGGTCCTATAGAGTCGGCACGACGGCTGTTGAGCTTGTTATTGGGTGCCAAACCCTTGTCGATGGCTTTTAGCCTGCGGACGCAATGAGGATCTGGGGCTCCCGACGGATGGCCGTGGGTCCTCTGGGTACCTAGGTAGATGGGGCAGTCCAGGCTATGAGTCGCCAACTTTGACGACTGATGGCCAACGGCAAGCTCTGTAGAAGACGACAGATGGTAAAACAAGGTCTTGGCTGACTGCTAGTGGTGGTGGCGGGTGCATCTGTCGAAAAGGAGTGTTCCGTTGGGCCACTGGCAAGTGCCTGTCTATCATAGGTAGCCCGCGAGGCTTGGTCGACGAGTTTTGATGGGTTGAAGGCGATGAACCATTTGCGACAGATGGATGTCCCGATAAGTCAATTTTGTTGTGTAAGACGGAAAGAGAGGGTGGCCGGCCAAGGAAACCATTTTTATGGATGACCGGACGTCGTTATCACAGGTCCCAAGAGAAAGCGAAGATGGTGGGCAAGAAAAGGTGGTGGGTGGAAGGCGGGGGCCCGAGAAGAGGGTTGAGACACCACGCACCGATGCTGGCGTTGACCTTGACGTTGGCGCTGGCGCTGGTGCTGGTGCTGGTGCTGGGCAGTTGGGGGGGAGGGGGAAAGGGCTGGCATTCCCATCGCCCTTGCCCCCAGATGGCCTAGAAACTTTGACTCTGGCCAGTGCGTCCCGGATCAACTTTGGCAGGTGCACACACTGGGACGTGCACTCTCCCTCACTATGCCATGTCCCTGGCCCTGACCATTGCCAGGCTCATCCTCCCACTAACAAACACGCTATCAAACGCCGTCTCAGCCAGCCCAAAGCCCAGCCCTGCAAACAGATGCGGCGTCCTTCCTCCTCGTCCTCCTCTCCCGATGAACCTTCCAGTTTGGCGCTTCGATGCGTCGACGGGGACTCGTCGTTACCCTTCTACATTGCAGTCTTGTGCATGTCTTGGTCCTCGCTCTCCGACAGGCCAGGTTTCTCCTTGTCTCACTCCACTGCTGTGTCACCCTCCACCCTCCTTCATGACCACGCTATCTCTTCTCCACCCAGCTACTGGCCGGCGCTTGTCTGGCGTTTCTCCACGACCACACAAGGGGAGGGACATCCTGGGCCAGCGAGATCGCCCAGAGTGCCAACTCCCTACATGTACAACCTTGGCCCCCTGTGTGGGCATCGACAAGAGACGACTCATCGACTCCGCCGGCCAGCTACGTAACTGGCTTTAGCCATTTTAGGATTCACAGCTGATGAATTTGCTGTGAACTGCGTCCACATACATGTACCTTCACAGTCGTTAGAAAGGGACCGTCGTTTCCGCCATGGCCAGCAAGTAACATGATGAGAGGTGCGCCAACGCCTGCTCGACAATGACCTGAACGCGCAATGCATTGCGGACAAGCGCGACTGGACGATCCGAAACCTCCTCCATCTGCACCGCGCTCAGTGAGAGCGTCCGACCTGCTGGTGCGCAGGCGCCCCCAACCAACGGAAACCCAAACATGGCCAACAGTCAAACGCTGCGCTCGGCTCCGATATACAGGACCCAACCCTCCCAGTCTCTGTTCTGTACCCCTCCTTAGATTTAAATCCCTGCCTAGAGACTAGTTGCCTATCAAATATCATATTTTGAGGCCCCATGGACCATGGTCAGTCATATTGTGCACCTTGACAGAAGTGGAACGCCACGGCCTAGTTCTGACCATCATTCATTCACTTATCGTGCATGAAGCTGGGTTGGGCTTTCGCAGATGCCGCATCGTCCGCTACCAGATTCTATTAGTATCGAAGTTTGCGTTATCATGAATGAATCATACTTGGGGAGGGAGGGGGGGGGGGGATGCTCCGCTGGGCAGACCCTTGTAAACGTGGCCACCAAGACGGGACCGTCCTTTTTCTCGAACGGGCTCTAAGATACTTCCCGCTAACAGAGGCCCGAACCTGTACCCGTCCCTTTCCGCGCATCCAGGACGACATCCAACCACGCATTTGAACGTGCAGAAAGGGGTTACGAGTAGGCAGAGCATAGGAACAAGGCCATTGTACGCGCTGACCGGGGGATTGTGATTTTGCCATTGGACGACCGCCAGCCCAGGAAAATCTACTTCCAGGTCGACCCCTTCTCGGGCATCTCATTGGGTTGGGGAGGATCGAATAATGACGAATCACCGTGTCTGAAACAGACATCTGCATGTCTTACGCTTCCCGCGACGCCGCAGGAACATGGGCCGAGCCAATCCTCTAGTCCCATTGCCTCGATTGCAATCGTGCTCATAGGCGATCAAGCGACAAGGGGAAGCCTGGACTGTCTGAAGATCCAAGCGACGTCCACAAGCCTCCATGTCTGTCCGCGGAAGAGGCGACGGGGGTAAGCGAGACTCTCCGGGAGCAAACCATCGGCAACGGCTCTTCTCTGTGCAACGCGGCAAATCTGGGGTCGTAAGACCACCAAGGTGGCGGACAGCACGCTATTCGAGGGATGTCCGATTTCGCTCGTTGCGACCGTGTCGGCCGTGGTTACCATACCAGCTTGCGTGTGTTGTCGTCCAAATCCAATTGTGCCCAGGTCACCGACCCATCACCCGAGTTCCCGTCTCTGGCCTCGACGAAGGCCGGCCGTCCGATGTGTCGACCATGGTGCCCGTAACCCAAGGCCAGGGCCCGCATATCAGCCAGCCAGTCGCTTGGCTATCATCAGCGCGCCGTCAGAAAACCGCATCATTGGAGAAGTGAGAAAATGTCAACAGCTCTGTCGACAGCTGAAACCTGCATACGACGGTGGCAACCATCGCATGTTAACCGCGTCTATCCCGGCTGCCAGGCTGGTGAAGAAGGGTAGATGATCCAAGGTTGAAAATAGCACCACCAGGTTGGCGTGCCTTTGCATTGACGAAAAGCACGCCGTCCGTTTAGCAGCCGGAACCAAGTCGCTGCCCGCATGCAGCATACGCAACGGCGTCTGTTGGCGGCAATTTTCTCTGTTTGATGGGGGCCCAAAAGAGGCAACCAACACGCCACGACGGCCTCACTCGGATAGCCCGACGTTTTCCCATGCACTCCGCCACAGGCCTCACCGCTGGTCGGGCGAACGTCACGGGACTTCCATTGCCTTCTGAGGCTGGTGACGTGGCACAACGGCCCTTCGACCCCTGCACGGGTGGCTGAAAATGCATGATAGCCGAGCAAACGCAGGGAGAGGTAGACGTCTCTTCTCGAATGCTTCCGTTACAAGCGCGCCCCTGCTGTGGCTTTGCCCTGCTGCATCGACAATCGCAGATCCCAAGCCGTGGTCAGGTTGTCTTGCATCTCGCGACAGGCAGAAGTACTCAATACTTCGGCGATGGCGAGGCGAAACACTTGACCTGGGTGGTTTCCTCCACGCCGCCAAGGTGATTGACAACGCATTGGATGCCTCCTAAGATCCCTGAAATCCCAGCACGCGGAAAGACCAGATAACCGACCTTTCAGTAAAAAAATAAAAAAACTCAACAATGACGATGCCTTTGTGATGGCTTGCTCACGTTTGACTCATCCTTTCGCGTCGAGAATCGCCAAATGTCCCCACACCACACTCCAGAGCACTGCGGGCAGGCGCCATTTCTGCCGTGACAGGGGTGAGACTCAGCCAGCAGGGGGCTTCGGTACTTCGATTGGCCTGACCAGGGTTGCCCCTCGCAAGTAACGTGACGGCGACGAGGTGCGAGAGGCGTCACACTGGGTGTGCTGAACATCTTGCCAGATGTCTGTTGCGGGCGCTCACCAGAGCGAGCTCGTTAGATCGCACCCTGCCATAGGTAAAGCCTCCCCTTCCCTTCGCCAGCGCCGCCCCGTCGGCAGCCAACGACATGGTCTTCGACGCTTCGCAGCCTCTGTAGAACCCCAGCTGTGCCGAGACACAGGCTGGAAGGGGGCCACACTCGTGCATCAGCTGGTTGGCAGGACGCCCATGATTTCCCGCTATTTGTTTTCTCATCGATCGATGGCTCACAGACGAGACATGCCCCTTTTGAGTGCCTCGCACACGTCGGTGGCTTCCTCATCGTCCTCATTGGGGTTGTGGCTTCTGCCCATAAGGCTTCCCGAGGCGTAGGACCAACAATGGGCGCCGGGCGGGCGTTAGCGAGAGACAACTCCAACGACTCCTTCCAAGCCTAGAATGGAAGGGCTGGGCTGGACTGGCATGGCATGGCCTCTCCTGCTCGCTGTTTGGCTGTGCTCAAGGCATCATTATTTTGGCTTTGCATCCTGAAGGAGTATATCCAACGCCCAACTAGCCAATCCGCCATGATGTCTCCTTAATCTTTAGGCTGTGGAGGCGCTGACCTGCCCCGATCCCGCACGCGAGTGGATTCGATTTCGAACGCCATTGCAGTGTCGTGTCATATGGCAAGGCAATACGCGAACCTCGGGGCTTATCCTCTGCTGATAGCCGTTTCCCAGACACTCTTGATTAGATGGCATATACCTGGAAACGCCATCTGGTCACTTGATGCCCCCCCTTCAGCCATGTCGCGCAACCTCTCCAGACCAAAGACGTTCCAGGAGGACATCGGGGGCGGCAGAATATTCGCGCTCTCTAGACCTATGAGATGTTCGCGGTGAAAAGTGTCGTTGCGCTTCGCTGCTTCACCGGTCACTGTGTTTTTGACCGCTGCGCCATCACGTGGTTTCTGGATGCCAATCATGCCGCCCTGCCAGGTGGCCATGTGACCTCTCGGTCTACTGGACGCGGCCTCGAGGCTCTGCGCTTAGAACGGCTTGGAAGTGGCGGCGGT